GTGTGAGTTGCAGCTCCATAGAGCAGAAACTCTCTCCCTATTAGCTACGAAGGGGCAACAACAAACCCTAAACCCTAAACCCTAAACCCTAAACCCTAAACCCTAGAATGCTCACAGGCTCTCGGGGCCCCTTCAGTACTCCGAATAGCAACCCTAAACCCTAAACCCTAAACCCTAAACCCTCAACATGTATGACTATAACGAATACCCGCCAGGGTGTATAGCCACCTACTAGCGGCGGTTTCTCCTCAGGGCAGGATTTCTCTGCTGCAGCAGAAGCAGCAGCAGCAGCAGCAGCAGCAGCAGCAGCAGCAGCAGCAGCAATGCGGTCCCCTCTCGAGGCCCCCTTCCCCCCTGTGGGGCCCACCGAGGAGCAGCACATGCTGCAGCTTAGAGCCTGCACTGAGCGCGAGTTTGAAGGTAAACCCTAAACCCTAAACCCTGAAACCTAAACCCTAAACCCTAAACCCTAAACCCTAGAAAATCCCTATACCAATACTACACAACGTCGCTGTGTGTTTCGCTGTATATATTTTTCCTTATCCTGAATTCATATTGAACTAGCAATTTGTAGGGTTTAGGGTTTACAACCAAGGGTTTAGGGTTTAGGGTTTAGGGTTTAGGGTTTAGGGTTTAGGGTTTGTGAGCAGAGTCACACACAGCTATCACCGCAGTTGACGCTATCATGGACGAGGGGGTTTTCGAGCACCTAAAGAAATTCAGCAGCTACAAGTATTCTGTCTATCACCAGAGAAAGCAGCAGCAGCAGCAGCAGCTGCAGCAGCAACGTCAGCTGCTGCAGCAGCAACTGCAACACGTACAAAACACCCTAAAACAGATACAGCAGCAGCAGCAGCAGCAGCAGCAACAGCAGCAACAGCAGCAGCAGCAGCAAGCTGCTGATACTGCTACTGGAATAGGGGACATCGAAGAGCAGCAAACTGAGCAGCAGCAGCAGCAGCAGCAGCAGCAGCAACAGCAGCAGCAGCAGCTGCAGCAGCTGCAAGAGGAACAGCAGCAGCTGCAGCAGCAGCTAAATGAACTGCAACGGCAGCAGCAAATGGAGGTCCTGAATGAGTTCGCGGCAATCCGACGCATAAACAACGTAAACCCTAAACCCTAAACCCTAACCCCCAAACCCTAAACCCTAAAACCCTAAAACCCTAAACCCTAGACCCCTCTAAACAAAAAAAAACATAAAACCCTTTCCGCGATTCCTCTCTNCCCTAAAACCCTAAACCCTAGACCCCTCTAAACAAAAAAAAACATAAAACCCTTTCCGCGATTCCTCTCTGCCTCCCTTCCAAACCCTCGTACCCAGCACCTAATACCCAGTATCCACTATCCACTATTAAGGGTTTAGGGTTTAGGGTTTAGGGTTTAGGGTTTAGGGTTTGCTGCTGCAGGAGGCCTGTACTCTCCTCGCCAGCAACTATGAGGGCTACGCATGGATGTGCCAGGTAGCAGCAAGAGTAACAGAGCTGCTGCAGCTGCCGGATGAAGCCGAGGCAGCAGAGGGGCCCCCAGGGGGGGGCCCCGGGGGCCCCCAGGGGCCCCATGCAGGAGATATTGCAGCGCAGCAAAGGCAGCAAGAGCTGCTGCAGGAACAGGAGCAGCTGCTGCTAGACTGCAGCAGCAGCAGCAGCAGCAAAAAACTCGAACTTGCATCTGCTGATAGTGTTGTATGTTGCTGCTGCTGTTGCTGCTGCTGCTGCTGCTGTTGCTGCTGTTGCTGCTGCTGTTGCTGCTGCTGTCGCTGTTGGTGTTTCACGCTGTATACATCCTTATTCGCTAGCATATCGACAAGGAAGGCCAAGCGTCTGCATCTGAGGGTTTAGGGTTTAGGGTTTAGGGTTTAGGGTTTAGGGTTTAGGGTTTGTGTGTGCAGCTGATCGCTGCACTGTGCGAGCTCCTAGCGACGAAATACAACTCTCACGTCTCAAGTAAGTCTATAAAACCCTAAACCCTAGGCCTTGGAGTCTATTGCTTGGAATGTTAACGGCAGCTGCTGCTGCGGTTGCTGC